AACGGAGGGACTAAAAAAAGGCTAGATTTTAAAATTTAGGGATCAAAAAGAAGATTTTTTCAGTATAGGAATCAAAAATGGGCTTTTTCCTATAGTAGAAGAACCAAAAAGGGTATTTAACCTAATAAATTAAACACAGATTCTGTAAAAATCACGTAAGGGATCAACACCTTCAACAAGGTGCCGAAACCTTCTGTTCAGCGCACACCTTGTCGAGTTTTTGGCCTTCTTAGCAATTCCTTCAATGGTAAAATTGCAGATATGGTCCTTTAAATTTTTTATAATCAATTAGATCCTAAAACTTGAGATTCATTCATTTAGGTTCCAAAAAAGAGCCTATCTTCTTGCAATTAAGTCCCTCAACTTTCATAAGATATTAAATTAATCCCAAAAACTTCTATTATTATAGAATCAAGTTCTTTTCTACACAAAATGAAAGTCATGTAAAATCTCATAAAATTCATCCAAATATCATTAATATCAAGGTAAAAATTCTACATTAATATCTATATGAATGCAGCTTATCAAATTCCCCCAAACTTAAGTTTTACTCATCCTCAAGTAAAATAAAAAAAAATAAACAAAAAGAAAATAAAACTTAACTCACTTTCGTACGAATCACGATTGTACTTAACATGTGCAACAAGCCTTTAAACCCCTAGATCACTCTAGTGGACGGGTTGTGTCTCGTGAGGGTTTTTAGCAGATCTACCAACAAAATCCCAATGCAATCATGCAACTATATAATATGCATGCAAAGAAAATTTAAGAATTAAAGTTTAATTAGATACAAAGTCTCAAATATTTAAGAGTTTTCATATACTCACTTAAAGTCAAATACTCATCCTATTCTTCACACCACTTGTTTAGCCCATAAGCACTTAGTGTGTGTGTGAAAATTTTTAGTAAGAAGTTTCAAGTTTAGACCTTCACACCTAAACACTTATTATTATTTTTTTTCTTTTCCCCCCCTTTTTTTTTGTATCAAGTTTCCTTAAACTTTCTAAGTTGTCCATGTAACGAGCTTTCTGCCAATGGCTCCCAAACTAATTGGCTTTAGGGCATTAGATGAAGAGACACCTCTAAGAATATACTTACTCAAGTAACAAAGGCCACGAAACATTTGATTTCTCTTTCTCTTTCTTTTTTTTTTTTTTTTCCAACCACACAACACATTCTTCCCTAAGTTATCATTTGTTTTTTGACACGAATACTAACATTTGTGATCAAAGCACCCGGTTACTCAACAAGTCATAAACTCAAAGTGCTTTGCATACTCATATTTCAAGTTACCGTTTGACGTGAGAGTTGACATGGGTCTCATGCCTAACCCTTAGTTACTAAGCAACTAGAAACATTGGAGTAAAAATTAACAAACTCTTTTGTATTGGCTTCTTTTTCTTCTCTCTCTCTCTCTCTCTCTCTCTCTCTCTCTCTCTTTTATGTGCCTTTTTAGGTGCTACTAAGTATTTTCTCTAAACTTCTCACTGCAAACTTGTGTTCAAGCAGAATAGAATACTCATGAACTTAAACGTCATTACAATGGTGCCATTTTTCAGATTTTGTATCTCCTTTAAGATTAAAAAATTTTAAGAGTTTTTGAATTTCCAACTCAAGAATATCCAATTCCTTGACACCAATTGGACCAACTCCTAAAAAAATACCCTAATTTCTAAAAAAATAAAAATATGTCATGCAAATATGAATGCAACTAATATAAGAATGGATGCCTAAAAGTTATCCTTTCCCCCAAACTTAAATCAAACATTGTCTTCAATGTAAAATAAAAGTAAGAGAAAAGAGAAACTTCCTAGGTTTTACACTTGAAGACTTAAAATTTAAGGTCTGAAGTTGAGTTGTCTTCAATTAGAGGAGACTTTTAGCATGTGAATTTCCATAATCTTGTCCCCCCAAACTTGTTCAATGACCTGGCCAAAATCAAAGAACAACAATTTATGCATTAACTTAGGTCATAAAGAGAAAATAATAATAGTAATAAATCTTAACTATTAAAATAAAAGATAAAAAAATAAAAGATAAAAAAATAAAAGAAAAGAAAAATTTATGCTTGGGTTGCCTCCCAATAAGCACTTAATTTATAGTCATTAGCTAGACTTTCTACCACTCCAAGGTGGTTTTGGATTAGGTCGTAGAGCATGTCCTCTCGTTTTCTTAAATCTTGGCTTTCTTGCCTTTAAGTTGAATCCACCGTAAGATTTTCTCCAATAACTATTCTGTGGTAGTTTGGGCTTAAGCTAGGAGACGTACCTTCCCAATTCTTCTAGGATTGCCCCCTTTAATTCCAAGGAAGATGAAGATGTGTTCAAACAATTTATGTATTCTTTGATTGAATCCTTTGCTTGAATAAGTTACATCTCAAATGGATTCTCATAAGTGTTTTTCTGCAAAATCTCATCAACTATATCAATAACAAAATAACCATTAAAATCAAATTTGGTTAAAGAAGGCTCCCCATTGAACACTTCAAATGACACTTGAGGTTTTTCCTCTTCTTCTTTAGAGACATCCTTTTGTTTAGTTTTTGCAGGTATGCTTTCCACTTCTTCAAGTTGTCCTTCAATCTCCAAGGGTAGAGTGTTTACCTTTTTTTTTTTCTTGATTTTTCATTGTGACACTAGGTAACTCACCTTGCATCTCTTCAGCAACTAAGTTAAGCAAATGACTTGATTGGACCTCCGGGTTTTTATCCAAACATGTCTCCTCTTGTTGAACTTGAAACCTTGATTGTGGCTCCAATATATCTTCATTATTCCATGAGGTGTTTGGATCAAAATTGCATGTATTGAGACAATAATTATACTACTGGCTATAAAACTTACAAGAAAAATTAACACGTTTGTTAGATGGGTTAAATAAACAATTAGAACTAAAATGGTCTAATTCACACCATCAACAAGTAATATTAAATTGTTTTGTTATAGCCTCCTTTAATTTGATCTTTTCAATGACTGCTTGAAATCGTTCAAGTTCATTATAATCAATTTTTGCTTCCCAATTGATAGTTATTGCTTCAACTTGTGCCCTTATCTCTAGAGCAAGATAGTGATAGTTTACTATAAGTGTCTATAACAACTCGATCCATAATTAAACTTACAAAAACAAAAACAAAGAAATGAAAAAAAAAAATCAAAGCAAAGAAATAAAAGAAAAGAAAACATTCAAATTAAATCTAGAATTAACCACTTCAATGTTAATTAAATCAACAATCCCCGGTAATGGTGCTAAAAACTTGATGTACTAAAATCACCTTAATAAGTGTATTAGTCGTTCCAAGTAATATAATGATGAGAAAAAT